TACTTAATGATTATAAGATGTGCGTAAGCGTACACACAATATTTAAACACAAAATTGTAGTAGATTCTTTTCACATTTCTTTTAAATATTGCTGCAACATTATTAAAATAATGTTGCAAATCTATATTTTAACAATGTTTCTGAAGTATTGCATTGCAATATGCAATGTTGCAATTTTGCTGCAATATTGCTGCAAACTTCTGTGCTGTATGGGACAACAATTATCATATATTATATACAAACACGTTTATGTATCACACGAGATTATATTTCTTCTTGGGTTTCTCACGGAAAACAAAAATATAAAAAGTATTGTTAGGAATATTTAGTACCCGGAGACTAGCGCCCTCTTTCGCCTACCCGTAATAGCTTTAAGTCAATAGAGGGCCTCGAGAAAAATTCTTTGTTATACTCGCATTCAAGCATTCGTACGTTATGTGTCGAGAACACTGTGAATAATAAAAGGTATCCGATTATAAATCTTCGAGAGATTATTGCTCGCTCCTATCCACCGACTAAAACGTATGTTACATTAACATTTGATGTTATTAACATTTGGTGTTATTAACATTTAGTGTTATTAACGTTTGGTATGTTATATTAACATTTGGCGACCGATGACAGGATTTATTCAGTTTGTGACATATTTGCAAGAAAATAGTCGGTGGCACAATGGATAAATTGAAAAAGGCACGTTCCACTGCTCGTGCGGCGTTTACTCGCATTCTGGGCTCATTGCATGCCGAGTTAGAGAAAGAGAGGCCAGATAACACGGAATTACAAGTACGCCTCGCGATGATAAGAGAAAAGGCGAGCCAATTAGAAGAATTTAACCAGAAGATTTTCGAGGTTATGATCGACAGTGATCTCAGCGAGGAAGTTTTAACACAGGAAACTGAAATAGCCGATGAATATCGGATGAAGTACCAGCAAGCGAAAATAACAGTAAATAATATAGTAGAACCACCTCAGGCAACGATCCATGTGGAAGATATCAGGCAAGTAGCACAAATTTCTAGAGACAGTGCACGCACTTACAAATTGCCAAAGATACAATTGCCGAAGTTTGGCGGAGATCTTAAAGATTGGTTGCAGTTCTGGAGCCTATTTAAGCACATCCACGAAGATCCAAACATCACCAAGGAAGATAAATTTCAGTACCTGATCCAAGCGATGAGAAAAGATTCTCGAGCGAGCGTATTGGTCAATAGTTTTCCGCCGACAGCTGCAAATTATGAAAAGGTCATTGCAAGCTTGAAGTCACGTTTTGGCAGGGAAGATTTGCTCGTCGAAGTTTACGTAAGAGAAATGCTCAAGTTAGTATTAAATCAATCAGCAAAGTCGAGTTACACTTCTTTATCTAGTATCTATGATAAACGCAATTACGAGCCTTAGAATCGCTTGGAGTCGCGACTGATATGTGCGCTGCAATGCTGTACCCCTTGGTAGAGTTGTCGTTACCGGAAGATCTTTTGCGCGTATGGCAGCGAAATCCGAATGCAATTAATTCTACTACATCGAAGCAACGCTTAGAAGAATTAATGTCTTTTCTCCATACAGAAGTAATGAGAGAAGAAAGAATCGCCATGGCAATGAGTGGTTTCAATATAAATAAAAACACGAATCAAGATAAGTCTAAAAAGAAAATAAAGACAGAACCGAAAGAGATCGCTACTGCTGCAGGACTTCTCGCTAAAGAAGAAAAAGTACATTCCTGCATATTTTGTGGACTAGAGCACGAGAGTGCTTTATGCGAAAAAGCCAAGAAGATGTCCTATGAAGATAGATGCAAGATGGTCAAAGAAAAAAATGCTTGTTTCTATTGTGCAAGAACGGGACAGTTTCAAATACTGCAGATACAAAGGAAAGTGTGCATGGTGCGGAAGAAAGTACATACTAATTATGTGTCGCAACACGTCCTCGACTGCCTCTGTAAAAAGCAATCAAGCAGAAGAACCTACCATTATCAAAACGCAAGTACAGCCCACTCTCGCTAATATTTCACTTACAGGAGAAGTATTTCTGCAGACACTTAGAGTGAAATTAGTTTCTCAAGGCAAAGAACGAGTAGTTAGAGCAATTTTTGATACAGGATCGCACAGATCATACATTCTTGACCGCTACGCTACGGAGATGGGATTCGAAATGGTAGGCGAGCAACAAATCATACATATGTTATTCGGAGGTTCTAAATCTAGTCCATCGCTACACAAGGGATATCGAGTTAGCATCGGAAGCATGGATGGATCATACTCTTGCAACATTATAGCTCTAAATCAGAAATCTATATGTGAAAAAGT